GATCGGGGATGGAGATACCTCCAGATGATCTGTTGTTGTATAGGATTGTTTTGGAGATTCTGGGTTTTTTGTTTCTCCATATGAATCTGAGAATCTTTTTTTCAAGGTCTGTAAAGAATTGAGTTGGTATTTTGATGGGAATTGCATTGAATCTGTAGATTGCTTTTGGCAGGATGGCCATTTTCACAATGTTAATCCTACCAATCCATGAGCATGGGAGATCTTTCCATCTTCTGAGATCTTCTTCAATTTCTTTCTTCAGAGACTTGAAGTTTTTCTCAAACAGGTCTTTCACTTGCTTGGTTAGTGTCACCCCAAGGTACTTTATGTGGTTAGTGGCTATTGTGAAGGGTGTTGTTTCCCTAATTTCTTTCTCGGCCATTTTGTCTTTGGTATACAGGAGGGCTTCTGATTTTTTTGAGTTGATTTTGTATCCTGCCACTTTGCTGAAGGTGTTTATCAACTGGGGGAGTTCTCTGGTTGAATTCTTGGGGTCGCTCATATATACTATCATATCATCTGCGAATAGTGACACTTTGACCTCTTCCTTTCCGATTTGTATCCCCTTGATCTCCTTTAGTTGTCTTATTGCTCTGGCTAGGACTTCAAGTACTATGTTGAAGAGGTAGGGAGAGAGTGGGCAGCCTTGTCTTGTCCCTGATTTCAGTGGGATTGATTTAAGTTTCTCTCCATTGAGTTTGATGTTGGCTATAGGCTTGCTGTATATTGCCTTTACTATGTTTAGATATGTGCCTTGTATTCCTGATCTCTCTAAGACTTTAAACATGAATGGGTGTTGGACTTTGTCAAATGCTTTTTCAGCATCTAAGGAGATGATCATGTGGTTTTTCTCCTTCAGTTTGTTTATGTGGTGGATTACATTGATGGATTTCTGTATGTTGAACCACCCTTGCATGCCTGGGATGAAGCCTACTTGGTCGTGGTGGATGATATCTTTGATGTGTTCTTGGATTCGGTTTGCAAGTACATAAATAGCTTTTAAAAATCCCACACAGTATTTACAAATTCAAACACATTAATATTTCAGTCTCTTTAAAATATCCAGTCTCTCTAAAAACCCCAAATCTCTTTTGAAAGTTCAAAGTCTTTCAGCTGTAGGCTTCTGTAAAAATTAAAAAAAAAAAATTAAATAACAATCACTCTAAGTTGAAGAATAGATTCAATAATTTACAATTTACCCCTTTCTCCTCTTATTCCTATATAATATTCCTAAAATATCTCCTTTTTAGTCTCAACCCCTTCCCCCTTACCTAGGAAGGAAAGATACAGAAAAGAGAAGGAAAGAGAGAGCTCTGTGAGTCTAAGTTCCTAAACCTTGTTTTCTATCTGATTAAGATCATTAATAAGGGCTGGAGAGACGGCTCAGAGGTTAAGAATACTGGCGGTTCTTCCAAAGGTACTGAGTTCAATTCCCAGCAACTACATGGTGGCTCATAACCATCTATAATGAGATCTGGTGCCCTCTTCTGGCCTGCAGACACATGTGCAGGCAGTATAGTGTATAAATAATAAATCTAAAAAGAAATTTAAAAAAAGATCATTAAGAAACACCTTCTTCAACAGGGAAGAACCAAGGTACAGTCACAATATGAACCAAGCAAAATCAAATCCCAATGGTGTAAAGAAATCAAAATTACAGTTATCAGAGATTCACTTATGATCTGGGCTGTCCTTTGCAGCACACAGTTTGTCTTCTAGGCTCCGGCTGGCTCCGCTCCACTGTTGCTGCTGTTCTCCGTGGTCATCCTGTGGCACTGGCATCACCAAAAGAGGTCTTCTGCTGCAACTTCACCAATGGCCTTTCCTGACCTCTCACAGTGCCAGGCCTCAGCTGCTCTTCATGACCCCTCAAGCCTTCAAAACCGGCACTACCTGGGTGACCCTTAAACTACCAAGCTGGCTGCCAGCATGAGATACAATCTCAGCCTCTTCTGGAACACAGCTTGTGTGTGTTGACCCTGAGCAAACACTTCCCGAAGATTTCACCTCAGGGATGCTGGTTTCTTCTCAAGAACTGCTCATATCTTAGCTCCACCTGCCCAGCATCAATTGTCCCTGTAGTGTAAAGGTTTCACTTCAGTGTTGCTTGTCCCTTGTTAATCATAGCTGAATCTTCAGTCCCAGTTCACCAGAACCACAAAATCTCAATTCAAAATAGCGAACAGTCCTGACAGAGTCTTTACACTTCCCTCTGACCTTCACAAGCCAGGCCTCTATCTTTTTCACTGCTCTTGACATTCTTATCTCAACCTCCTACAGAGCTCTATGCCTTTTCTAGCCCAAAGTTCCAAAGTCCTTTCACAATTCACCCTAAAACATGATCAGGTGTGTCACAGCACTATCCCACAATCCTGGTACTAACATGTCGTAGTTAGTTTTTCTATTTCTGTGACAAAACACCATGACCAAAAAGCAAGTTGGGGAGGAAAGGGTTTGTGTTTGGCTTACACTTGCATGTTGCTGTTCAATAGGATGGGTAGGGTAAGAATTGTGCCTCTTGTCTGAACTCACATTTTGAGGCCCTTCCCTCACAGAAATGGAATTTGAAGGCAGAGCACTGAGGCATGTAATGAAGGTGAAATAAAGTCATCAGCTGCAGCCTTAGTACAATAGGACTGCTGTCTTTACAGGAAGAGGAGGAAGTAAAAGGTGTGTCCCTTTCCCTACAGGTACGTAGAAGAAAAGCCACATGAGGACAAGCATAAGGCAGCTGTGTGAGCACTTGTGTGAGAGGCAGGAAGGACGCTTCACCAGACACAAACACTTTGTTCTTGAACTTCTGGCCTCCATAACTGCTGGAAAATAGATGTCACCTGATATGTGGCACATAGTTCTGACACTCCTGGTAGAACAAAGGTGGGGAGATGGGTAGATTTAGATTTATTTTAAGGAATTGTCTCCTGCAATTGGGTGGCCTGGCAAGTTGGAAATCTTTAAGGCAGGTTTTCACATTAACAACTCAGTGAACATACTTATTCTCAGGAAAACCTCAGTTTGTGCTCTTACCTTCAGCTGGCAATATGAGCTTCACCCATATTATCAAGCTTAATCTCCTTTATTTAAAGTCAAATGAGATAAAACTGAGTGAGGTGGTACATGCCCATAGTCCTACTTACTTGAGAAGTGAGATAAGAGGAGACTCAAACCCAAGACTTTGAGACCAGCCTAGGCAACTTAGGGGACCCTACCTGAAAAATGCACACAGACACAAAAGGAGACACACACACACACACACACACACAGATACACACACAAGTCAGCTGATGCAAATGCTATCACATATACAAAGTATCTTCATGGCCACTTCTAGACTAGTGTCTGAGCAAACTACTAGACTCCATAGCTTAAGCTGACATTGTGGTAACCCTCACAAGGAGCTCACTGGAAGCATAGAGCTTCATCTGAATTGTCATCCTCTGTCCTCTTACTACGTATATACGGAGGGGATTCAGTAATGGAGGGAGGAGGCTGTTGTTACAGCCAGCTTACCAAAGCTACTGTGTGACCAAGTGTGGAGCCCAGTCCATTGATTGGGCCAGAGCAGCCTAGATAAGGAGAATGATAAATTCTGCTTCTGTTCAGCTCAGCGAAGGAACGCTCTTTGTGCCATGAGCTTGCAGTCTAGTGAGGTAGCACAAAAACCCTGAGGTTTGCAAACAGCACATAAACTGCCATTTTTCTGTGGAGTTTATTGAGTACCAGGCAGAAGCGCTTTATATCACATTATTTAGTCCTCAAAAAGTCTCTATGTGATGAACACCACTCTATGTGATGAACACCACAGATGAGCTAATGGAGCCTTGAGCTCAACATAGGAGCAACTCTGAGACTCACTCAACCAGTCTAACTCCAGAGATCAGAGTTTTGCCACTCAGTTCTTCTGATTTAACATACCTCTATAAACTGTGATCAGTCAAGGTCACCTCAGACACAAATAAAGCCAGGTGGTGGTTTCGAACATGGCAGTTATACTTAGATCATCTGTGGATAGAAAACTTGTATGTTTGTTTCTTTGTGTGTGTATGTGTGTGTGTGTGTGTGTGTGTGTGTTTAATCAAAAGGTCTGACAGAAACAACTTTATGGTCTATTTGGAGTCTCTTTTCCATGATTTTCAGTCCATCACAGCAGGGAGAGCATGGCGTGCCCCATAATGGCCAAGTGTGCATTGTGATGGACTAGGATGCAGAGTTCAGGCTGGACTAGAAGTGGGTATAGCTAGCCTCCAAAGAATCACCCTACTGGCCACCTGAGGACCACACTCTCAACCTGTGGGCAACATCACAGACTCAAGCCACACCTGTAAGAGTAACATCTCTTTGCCTGATTTAATTGTCAGAGGCTTACTTCTAACTTGGGCCTGATCCTGGAAGTTTCTAGACTTCGTACAATCTTATCTAGGCCTAGAGTGTTTTCAGCCTCTGAGACTTACTGCTGAATAAGCTCACCCTTTCTAGAGCTTTCTGAACTCTGGCTGGCTGGTTCAACTCAGCTGTTCTGGCTCAAATGCCTCTCCTAGCTAACTGATTCCATCTGGCTTCTATCTGAGCCTCTGACTGAATTGTTCTGCTTGGCCGTATACTAACATTGGAGATATGTTCTAATCTTCTGGCTTCTTCTCATTTTTCTGGCTTGTTCTGTCTTCACCTGTGTCTAGCTTGTTCTCTCTTCAACCTGGCTCTGCAGAACTTGTCCAGTAAAACTGCCTCTGAATTCCATGAACTGTACTGCCACGAACTCAACTCCACTGCACTGCCTCTAAACTCACTGAGTCAACCAAACTGCCTGAACAGCACTCAAAGATCTCTCTGTCTCCTAAGTGCTGGGATTAAAAGTGTGTATCACCACATCTGGACCTAAATTTTTCTTTACCTGAAACTTGTTCTATCCCAGGCTGGCCTTGAACTCAAGATCTGCTTGCCTCTGTCTCCTGGGATTAAAGGTGTATTTATGGCTCGCGCGCTTGGGAGCGGTGGGCGGAATGGCCCGAGCTGGCGGCGGTGCTCCCGGCGATGCGGGCCGGGAAGGCTCTGCTGCTGCCGACCCGTTCAGCTTCAGTCCGGAGCCCACGCTGGAGGACATCCGGTGCCTCCATGCAGAGTTTGCTGCTGAACGGGACTGGGAGCAGTTCCACCAGCCTCGGAACCTGCTCCTAGCCTTGGTGAGAGAAGTCGGCAAGCTGGCGGAACTCTTTCAGTGGAAGTCTGATACAAAGCCTGGTCCTCAAGCATGGCCGCCAAAGGAACGAGCAGCCCTTCAGGAGGAGCTCAGCGATGTCCTCATCTACCTCGTCGCCCTGGCAGCCCGCTGTCGTGTGGATTTGCCTCAAGCAGTGATCTCCAAAATGGACACCAACCGCCGACGGTACCCAGTCCATCTGTCCCGAGGCTCTGCCTACAAGTACACAGACTTGCCTCGTGGGACCATCTCTGAAAGCCAGGCTGTGGACTATTCTGATCCTGCCCCTGAGTTGAGAAACCAGGCCTCCACCTAGAAACACAGTGTCTCAGCAGCAGAGATGGACTTGTTCTAATCTGCTCTTATTAAACGACGTGTCTGAGGCCCAACAGGTTTTCTCTCCCAATAAAATGACTTAAGGCAACAACTCCTAGATTTCTCTAAAGTAGCTAGAGAGGATATCTCAAGTCCTGCCGAGAAGAAGGCTCTTCCTGCTGCGACTAGTAGCTGATCTTTTGCCTTTTCAACTTGAAGCGTACAAAAGCAGAGAACAGGAAGTAAAGATGGGCCACAAATCTTTGATGAGTGCAGAATACAGCTTCTGTTCCTCTTGGTCCCTTGGTACAAGTAAAGGTCACCTACCACTCAAAAAAAAAAAAAAAAAAAAAAAAAAAAGGTGTATTTATGTTTCAGCCAGATCACACAGACCTCGAAGGTCTTTGGATGTGATTTCTTGCCAGAGCAGTCATGTTCTGAATTAAGTTCCTCTGCACACATCAGCAAGGAATTTAAAAAGGAATCTTAACGATGCATTTTAACTGAACCTTAGAAAGTTTTTATTGTACTGGAAGCCAGGAAGGGATAGGGATGACATGGATTTGTTGATATCCTTGAGTTTAGTATTTGGAGTACTGAACTGTGCAGAAACTTATTTTGGCTTTTCATGTTCATTTTCAATATATGAAATTTAAAATTCATCAACCTTTGTTCTTTCATCAGATGTTAAAGAAGATTAAGTTACAGATCTCTCTTCTTTTAAATTATACATATAGAAAATCTGCAAAAGTCACTTAAGCAGTCCACTTTTAGACCATTATGTGGAGTGCCCAGGCTGGACATATAGACCTGTGTAAGTACAGTTTTCGTAACTGTCCTCAAAGCTCTTATTCACGTCGTTCATTTAGTAATTTTTTTCCTTTTAAGCTACATAAATTATAATTAACAACAAAAATTTCCTGTGCTTTACTATGGCAGGAACATGCTAATAAGCATTCCTGAATTCTAATAACTATGCAAAATCTAATGCATTGAAAGGGTGCACAACTCAGGTTCTCTCTTAAGTATAACAACAAACTTAACAGTTGTAAGACTTCATCCTTACACCACAAGGGTAACCAACTATTAGGCCATACTTTAGATTGGTATTAAATACCTGACCTTCCAATAGGCAAACTTCCTTTTAACTATCTAAAGAACATTTTAAAAAAATGTACATATCCTCCTAAGCAGAATGCCAGTAAAATTATAGTTTTAATTCTTATGTCACTTAAGTATTCTCAACTAAAAGATACCCACTCCCCAGAAATGGTGACCACTGTCCCTATCACTGAGCCTCTAAGGCCAGATCTTAGAGCACTTATGAATCCTGGTACTTCAGAGATGGAGAATAGATCTTCTTGCTGTGACAAGCCACTGTGGCATGCCTTCCACAGTGCTTATGCTTCTGTGACCTCCAGAGGGTGTGCCATGTGGTTCACAGCCTACAGTCCAGATCTAAACCTCCTGCTTTGACAGTGGTCTTATAATAGGTAAACACTCCACACATGCCTTTCAACACAGAAGAATAAGCTTGTTGGAATCTTGTATTCTCTTGCTTTGTCAGACTGCAGGTAGCTTTTGTTTGTTTGTTTTCTAAAAATTTATTTATGTATTATGTATACAAGGTTCTATCTGCATGTACACTTGCACACCAGAAGAGGACACCAGATCTCATTATAGATGGCTGTAGGCTACCATGTGGTTGCTGGGAATTGAACTCAGGTCCTCTGGAAGAGCAGCCAGTGCTCTTAAGCTCTTGGCCATCTCTCCAGGCCCTGGAAACTCTTGTTTAAAATACTGTCTGAAATCTGGATGCCACACATGCATGCATCCATGGATGAGATTATCCTTTTGGCCAAAGTCTTTTGAGAAGCCTGTGTGAAATGGGGTCCATATTCTAACATCTAGATTCTATGTACTCTGCTTTACAGATGTAATTAAGGATCTTGAGCTGACATCTTTTTGGACTAATATTCAAAGCTTAAATTCAATGTGTAAGAGATGACAGAGAAGACTCAGACACAGAAGCCATTATGCAAATGGAACAGACACTGCAGTGATGCAGATACAGCCAAGGAACACTCGCAGCCCCGCAGGCAGGAAGATGCAGGGAACATCCTCCCCTAAGATGAAATACACAGCCTTCAGAACTGTGAGTGCATACATTCTTGTTGCCTTAAGCCTCCAAATTGTAGGTGCTTAGTAAGTGGACATCTTCATACGGGATAAACAAGGACTACCTCATGGAATATATATTGAGACTCTTAAGTTGCAAATATGGAAAAATAATTATAGTTTTAAGCATGAAAGCGACACTTTTTAAAGAATCTAGTTACTGAAACTAAGGGTTGAGTCAGGAACTGGAGCTGGACACAGTGGTTCACACTTGTATTTCTAGGACACAGACAGTGAGGCTGAGGGAAAAGGATTACAAGTTCAAGCCTAACTTGGGATACATAGTAAGATCTTGTCTCAAATTAAAATATCTGAACCTCAAAATGAGAAAGAGAAGGAAGCAGATCTGGAGTCCTGGTGGGACCCTTCCTTCTTACCTCTGAGCCTATTTCACTGTCTTCTTTCACCACAGAGTTACTCATATTGGAGAATATGGCCATGGCAGAGTGCCTGCATTCATGTGTGGCTATTTCAACCATTCTCTAGCAGAGTAACTTATTTTCTCTCACCCCCAAACCAAAGAGCCAGCTTAGTGATAGAAAAATATAGTGCTTTGTTATGTTATCCAGGGGAAGCAAAGAACAAAAGTTTTCAGGCAGCCTAGACAGCATGAGGGAAAGAAAAATTAGTACTTTGTGCTGTGAAGCTACGGTGTTTTGGAAAGTTATGTGGACCCAATACACTTTCTACTTAGATTACTTTCAACTTGTAGTGGGATTACAGGCAGACGCCTCACTGTAACAGAGTGGCATCTGTGCTCCAAGACTTAAAACAGCAGCAGACACCATTTCTTCTTTCTCTGAAAAGAAGCAAGGAGAAAGCCACAATGTTTCCTGGGACTTAGTCTAGAAGGCATAAGCTGCTGCTTTGCCCTTTACTAAGTGCAATCCACCCTTAAGGGATGGAGACATCCTTTCAGTGGAAGAACCAAAATATTTATGAGTAGATTTAAAAATCTTTAACTTATTTATATTTGTGTATGTGTATTGACTTGCTTGTCAGTATGTGTACCACCTGCGTACAGGTGTCTGTGGAGGCCAGAAGGTGTCAGAACCCCTAAAATTAGAGTTACAGATGGTGTGAGTTTCTTGTGTGGGTGTTGGAAAACAACCCCGGGTCCTTTGCCAGATCACCAAGTACTCTTAGCCAACAAGCCATCTTTGTAGCAGCCCCCATTTATGGGAGATTTAATTTAAAAGTCACTACTGGGCCTTGATGGTGTTGGCCTGAGCCCTTAAACCCAGTGCTCAAAGGCAAAGGCAGAGCTCTGTGAGTCTCAAGCCAGCCTAGTCTACACAGTGAGTTCCAGAATAGCCAGGATGACACACAGAAACCCTGTCTCAAAGCTTCCCCTTCAAAAAAAAAAAAAAAGTCTCAGAGATAACATAAGAACCAACAGTGTGTGACACTTATTGGACTCTGAGTTTTCTAAAAGTAGAAGAACTTTAAAGATAATCGACATAGGAGTAAAATGTTGTAGTGTCTGCAACTTACCTTCAAACAGGTCAAGGAAAAAAAATAGAAACATGCTAGCACTTCTTAAATTTTAACAGAGAGCATACAAGTAATAGAATGGTATCTGCTCAGGACTCCCAAGACCAAGTTCTCAGCACAAAGGAGATTTATTTGCTCCAGAGGGGCAATGAGCAGGGAATAAGAGACAGATCAGAGATAGAGGATGAAGGAGATGGGAGAAAGAAACAAGGGAGAGGGGTAAGGGGTATTTGTCCCAGAGTGGGACAAAGGACTGCCTCTGAGAGGAGACAGATGTGGCCTATAAGAAAATGGAGGTATTAGGTGAGCCAAAAGGGGCTTTTGATTGCTGGACTTCAATATGTTGATAGCTGGGCCTTCTCAGCAGGAGGAAGTGGCCAAAATAAGGAAATAGACCTTGGTATCGAGCTTTAGAAATGTAATCTTAGGGTTTTTATCAAGGCAGAGGGAGTCAGGGAAAAGAGCAAGGCCTGCCAGAGCCAAGTTTGCTGTGCTTGAGCTGGCGAGCATTTCTTTAATACAGTAATTCGTTATATTAATTTTTTATTTTTTATACTTTTAAAGTTTTTCAAACCTAAGGGTAGACAAATATAATAATTTGGTCCCACATTTTGGACAGGGCTCTCAAATTCAAGTCAAGACTCAGGGTCTTAGATTAGACAAAACAGTGACTTTTAAGATACTATTCTGCTTCATCCACCATTTCATGGAAAGTGCTCCATGTGGACCTCTAGGAACTCCACTCTTGAAGAGAAACATGAGGAGGGCTCCTGTGGGATGACATCTTCTCAACCAGGTAGACAAGCCACACTGTAGATGTTGAAGACATTTGGGGAAAGCAGAACAACATCAGGAGTTGATGTCAAGGAGAAAGGTCAGTGTCCCTCACAAAACCCATAAAATCCAGAACTTTCTAGCTTCCCTGTCAGCGTTTCAAAGAAAATCCCAATGCATCCTTTATCTGTGAACACGTGAGATCCCTAGAAGGAAAGGATGGAAGGTTGTATGTACAGGTAACCATTGTTTAAGACCTCCTTGTCAGAGAGTCCAGACATTATATCAGAATCTTCCTCAGATATAATCCTGCTCTGTTTTGGAGAATGCAACAAGAGTCATTGGAATTCTAAGGGAGGCTGGAGTAAATGTGTAGATAGCATTTGATAATATAGCAATTTTCATAGTGTTAATTATCCTACTCCATTACTGTGTAACAGTTTCCTCCAGGATTAAAACATCCTATCCTGCAGGAACGCTCTTTAAACAAAAAGGTAAACACCTCAAAAATACTAAAGTTACTAAAACTGACCAGAATCTAGGCCCCTCTCTGCCAAAGTAAACAATAAAAGTGGGTCCAGACCAAAAGAACTAAGCTACAAAAAGGTTCAACATCAGACAAG